GGCTGCTACCAAATTAGCCCTAAATGCACATCGCCGAAACTCCTGAAATAAATACGAGATAAATACAAGCACCGGGACTTGAACCTTGCTGAATTAAATATATCATTATCCTTTTAACCATCCGTTGTATTTTGTCCACATTCAACACATCGACATCGTACTAGCAGCTCCATTTGCATCGACAAAAGACCCTCACTTTGCATCGTTAATGTTTTCTTTGTTGGAAGCTCAAACTGGAACCCGACACGCTCCGGATCCGGCACTTTTTATCCGTAGGCGGAGGTGGGCCCATTTCCGTCCCTCGGTGGGCCCATTGCCCCCGTCGCCCACGGTTTCGCATCAGGGCCCATCCGTCAGTTTCTTCCTTCTCCTCCACTTCCACTCCCACCGTGGCTGCCTCCGCCGTCGCCTCCTCCTCCCTTCCCCAATGGTAGGCGCCAGACTGAGCCAGCTCTGACCGCCGCGCGGGGCCTTGATCCGGCGCCAGGCGGTCGGGAATCGCGCGGGTGCCCCGTTCAATTCGACGCGGACTCCAGCTGGGAGGTCGGAGCGGCGGAGATCCGGTCGCCGGACTTGCCTCCAATCCGCTGGTCGCCGTCGTTCCCGGAAGAAAAATCGAGGTTGGTTTAACATTCCTTGCGCGTTCGTCCCGTATGTGCTCGTGTTTTCCTTCCCGAGTCACTCTGTTCATGAGCGAGTGTGCGATTCTGTCTGATGCAAACATGCTACTGTTTCATAGGAGGTTCGTTCGCCGGCGCGTGCTGTGCGCGGTCTCGTGGATCTGCGGCTCGGCGACTTGTGACCGGGTCTTTGCCGGTGGAAAGGGGGCTGCTTTGGGCATCGTTGTTCCCGAGGTGTTTGTCCCCATAGGGGCGACCAGTTCAAGAGAGCGCCGGTTCATGATTCAGGCAATGGCGTCGCAATCGCAGGCAGGAGGCGGCGGTGGCGGCGGCTATGCTGGCCCGGGGCAGCGCGGGCAGGCGCAGGGCCTGGCGAGGCAAGGTTCCCTGTACAGCCTTACCCTCGATGAGGTGCAGAGCCAGCTGACAGAGCCTTTGCTTAGTATGAACCTCGACGAGCTGCTCAAGAGCGTGTTTCCGGACGGCGTGGATCCTGTCGGTGGCGTCGCTGGCCAGTCTGAGCCGGCCCCGGGCCTGCATCGCCAGGGGAGCATCACAATGCCTCCTGAGCTGAGCAAGAAGACGGTGGACGAGGTGTGGAAGGGCATCCAAGATTCGCCGAAGAGAAGTGGTGAGGAGGGTATTCGGCGGAGGCGGGAGAGGCAGCCGACCTTTGGGGAGATGACACTTGAGGATTTCCTGGTGAAAGCTGGAGTTGTCGCTGAAGGGCATTTGAAGGATCCGATTGACTTGCCAGCTAACATGGGTGCGGTTGGGAGCAGTGTAACGGCCGCTGCGCCCAGTTTGAACCCCGGAGCGCATTGGTTACAGCAGTACCTGGAGCCCCAGCATCCAAGCATGGCAGGCCCTTTCATGGCAAGTCATTTGGGTCCTCAGCCATTGTCTGTTGCTACAGGTGCTATCATGGAACCAATTTACCCGGATGGCCAGATTACGTCACCAATGCTCGATGCACTTTCTGATCCTCAGACACCTAGGCGCAAGCGTGGTGCATCAGATGGTGTAACTGATAAAGTTGTAGAAAGAAGGCAGAAGAGAATGATAAAAAACAGGGAATCAGCTGCACGCTCCAGAGCGAGGAAGCAGGTCTACAGCTATTGTCCTGTCTATCCTGTTTTCCTACGCATTGGCTATGTCCTGTTATAATGTTATGATCGCAGCATCAAAGCTTTGTGAAAAGTTATTGTTGAATGTATTGATTTAGGTATTTATGTTACAATTTTTAGTCTCAAATAGTCAAATTGCAAGAATATCATTAGGTACTCCCTTACGTTTTTTTACTTCGCATATAAGATTTGTTTGAAGTCAAACTACATAAACTTTGAGCAAATTTATATTAAAAATATCAACATCTACAACACTAAAGTTATACAATATGAAAATTAATTTTATGATGCCTCTAATGATATTGATTTTGTATTGCGAATGTTGATATTTTTTTCCTATAAAGTTGGTCAAACTTTATAAAGTTTGACTTCAGACAAAACTTATATGCAGAGTAAAAGAAATGACTGTGCCACTGGAGTAGCCTATTGACTTATTCTCATTCCATGTCATTCTACTCTATTAATAAAGAAATAGCAATAACCTAGTGCATTCTACTTGGCAGGCTTACACTAATGAGCTTGAAAACAAGGTGTCTCGTCTAGAAGAGGAGAACGAGAGGTTGAAGAAGCAGAAGGTACTTTGTCTTCTGTTACTGTAACACTCTTACTTTTCGCCCCTTCTTTTTGGTGGAGGATATTTAACTACAGCATTCCACTATGCATTGTAGTGAACCCAGGTTATTGTAACAATGTTTTTATTCAGGTAGTAAGCTATTTTGTTTCACACTAGTCAATCGTTCAACTTCTTTCTACTTGGGCTCAATAATATCATGTGTAATAAGTGCACTATACTGATGTAATCATGTTAGTTGATTCCATAGTACCACCACCCACACAACTCATTTAGTATGCTTTGCAGACCTGTATCTATATTGTCACTGCTGAATCCCATATGTTCATTGCTACTTTTTTTGTCCAGTATTGTTGAGAAAACTATTTTAGTTACCATGCTGACAGACACGTGCAGTGATCTCATTGTTTGTTTTTGACGTTCAAATATCTATTGGAGGCTATGTAACGAAAGTGGAATCTCAAAGTTATTTTTCTTGCTTACAGAGCTAACTAAGTTTTGGCATTGACTTGAAGATTGTGCCACACTTTCTTTACAGGGCCAAACATACCATAATGTATATAAACTAACTGAATGGGGCTAGTTTTTGGTAGCTTGAACTTAGTAATTTTTGGAAATATAAGCAGCTGGTCATTCGAATTTAGAGGAAACTCTTATGAAGTTCTTGAGCATCTTATTTAATTGAATATACCCTACTGAATGTATTGACCGGTGTACTTAGGCTAAGTATGTCAATGTTTTGCATGGTGAAGTTGATATGCGCATGGCTACAGCAATTTTAATGATATGGAAGCAGAAAAACTGCTATTTAATGACTTGTAGTTGACTAGTGGGGTTTGTCTATATAGATATATTGTTGAAAGCACATATGTTGTACTCTATTGTTTCGGTTGCTTCTTAATAGTAGTTCTTATTAGTTAACAATGCGGGTGAGATTTCAGCAGTGCCTGCTATTCCTAATAAGCAGTTTGTACGAAGAACTGCAGCATTGATTCATAGAACTTTATTGCTCTTCTCTGCAGCGTAGCAATTCATTAAGATGCTTGGCGCCCTTACGGCATATGCTTTGGTTGGTCAAAACTGAGTTGCTGCTGAGAATTGAATATATGGATAGGTTATCTTGAATCAATGAATCATGTCCCTATACTTGGCGAGTAAGAGGTGTAATAGAATTGCTTCCCTGTTCACAATTGCACAGTAGCTCTCCATACAATCTAAAAATGAAAACCCAGTTCTTTATACAATTACAATCCTGGAGTTACCCAACAGATTGCAGTCCTTTATGAAAGTAAAATAAACACATATCATGAACATTGACAGGAAACACACTTAACAAACAGATCACCACTGGAAATGAATACGTTAGACTTTGTACTCACTCAATCGTACATGCGTGAAGCAACAGAGCACCGGGTAAAAGAAAACCACAGAGAGCATATGTGCTTGTGTTTTCTGTATTTTGAGTGCAATTCCATTTGGTCCTTGCAATGGGTGCCTGCCATTTATCTGTTAAGACCACATCACCCAAAGATGATGCTGGTGATATTAATCATATCTAGCAATATTTGTAGTCCTATTCTTTCTTAGCCTAACACTATGATACTGAGATTTCATCGGTCGTTACTTTGTGGCTGTAAATATTTTTTTGTCAGCATGATGTAATTGATTCTTGTTCTTCAATTCAGCAAACAATATCCCCACACTTCATTTGGATGCTAAGTACGTAGCTTATATTATATTATATTCATCTCATGTCTGACGCCTTCCATTTCACAATAATTTCAGGAGTTGGACATGATGATAACCTCCGCGCCTCCCCCAGAACCCAAGTATCAACTCCGGAGAACAAGTTCTGCCCCTGTTTGACGTCGATAGTAGCCTGAGGGGCAGTTGGTAGCTTGTCCCAGCCCGGTGGTTCAGAGTTTGTAGATGAGTAGCAGCCCTTAGCATGTCCCAGCCCGGTGGTTCAGAGTTTGTCAATGTGTGTAAATCTGCCAGGTTATGTTTTAATTTTATCAGAGCTCCTTTGTACATGGTAAGTTATGTCTGTCTCTATCTCATCATATGGTGGTCATGTATGTGGCCATGCCCAAAGAAAGTGTCTTTTCGTTGCTGTTTCTGCCAGACAGAGCGTATGTCCGCCGATACCTCTGTTTTTGCTGAGATCCGGGTGAGAATTTGACAGCCGAGTCGTGAAATCAGCATGAAGTTTTGATCATCATTAGAACTGCGAAGGCGCTCTGATCACAGCAGTTCACAAAGAAAATGCATCATTAGAACTCTGAAGGCGCTGATCACAGCAGTTCACAAAGAAAATTCTTTGAGAAGTTGAAGTAAACAAAACATGCATGAAAACGCTTGTGCGCAATTCTGGTTTGCTCCTGCAATAATGCGGAAAATCCGCAACCGATTCCAAGTCATTTAAAATTCCATATCCGCAATCAATTCAAATGGAACAATGCCTGAATGCAAAAGTCGAATGATCCCAACCATGTAACGAATCAGATCAACTTTGAAGACACATCTAACTAAATGATACACCTACAATACTTTCTAACGACACAGTCAAACATATTGGACCACTATCAACACCGCCTTTGCACCCCCAATACATAAAACATCTCCCATTAGTATCACCAGAGTCTTTTCCCCCTATGATGCAGAGAACGTCTTCCAGAAGTATCACCAAAGCCTCCTCCCGCCGATACGCCTCGCGAGCTGTATGTCCTTTTGCACTGTAGCAGCAAAAAAAGTCAGGTTAACAGGAACATGCTAGTAAATACATCTTCATATATAGTTCCATTTATTCAGGAGCATCCGTTTTATTTGTTAGAATAGCAACAGCCATGATGATGATGATTCTCAACAGTTTCCAAGTTTTATAAGGAAACAAAAAATGTAACCTACAAATAAAATTCTGATTTTATATAATGTTTATCCTTCAGATAAGAAATAAATAGGTAATCAACCCTGAATAAATAGGTAATCAACCCTGAATTTCCTGCTATAGTAACCCGGTTTGACATCTTCGTTTTTTTTAATGAATTGTTTGACATGTTTGTTCGTTGACAACAGATACGAGGAGCTGCAGAGATATAACAATTGTGGATCCTATCATTAATCGTTAGAATTCTTGAACCTTGAAACAACATCAAAACTAGATATCACATCAAATGAAAGCAAAGGTGATCCTGTAATTGAAACTCTTTCATAACTGGCATGTTTCCTTCTGCATAATATTGTAAATGGAAGGAAGTTTTCATTCAGTGAGAACTTACTGACGGTAACACGCTTTGCATGGATGGCACAGTGATTTGCCCTTTCAAATACGTCGACGAGGTGATACTCTGCAGCCTGCAGAGGGAAAGGAAAAGGGAATTATGCGTCAATTCAAAGCAAATACACAGGCCAGTGACTAAAAGTACTAACTCATTTCTTAGGCCACACTGAGTATAGTCAACTTTATGTTATTTTTGCTCGTTGTGCAGAAGAAGGCATTTCTGGCAAGAGGCGACTAAAGTAAGTCTATTGTGCAAACAACAATCTCGTATAAATGCACAATAAACTTGACTGGTTCTAAAGTACTTTTTGTTGTTGTACTGGAAACAGAGATAATCATTTGGGGGTTGGGACACATAAGCATGTAGTGGATATAGACATAATCATTTGGCGTTCGGACACATAACCATAACATGCAATTTTCTGGATCACAATATCCTCATCCTGAATCAAAATTGAACGTCACTACCACTTGCTCACCTCTCAGTTACACCCTAAATTCCATAAGACATATGGCATCTAACCAATAGTTCAGTTTTGAGTGTGTGGGCAGGATCATGTATTCATGTTGCAAGACTGTATATCTTGACCAAACAACCAGATTTGCACAAACACACAGAAAAGACAATTGATACCATTTTGCTCGTAATCACGTTTCAGTTTTGGGTTACCAGCCACCAAAACAATACCATGCTGCTAAATAAATATATCAAACTGAATTAATACCAGAGCATTCAGACACTATGATACATGCATCTACCCCACAGTTCATGGTTTTCAGATCTTGAATTCATCTGCATTGTAGTACTCTAATCAAACCATCAGATCTAATAGTACATGCCAGGTTTGAGCACTGACCTCTTGAATTGCAACGAGCGCTTGGGGAGTCCAGCGGCTGATTTCAGGACAGAAGAAGTCGGTGACCTCCTTGATCTACAAATTTGTCAGGAACAAAAGATTCCAATTTACACTCCGCACTCCAGATCGTTGGTAGAGAGAGCGAGAGGATATGACAGAGGTACCCACCAGACGAACAAATGGTGCAAACGGGATGAGAAAGTCGACCGATTTCTGGTACTTCCTGATCTCCCGCAGTGCCACCGTGCCTGGCCTGAACCGGTGTGGCTTCCTCTGCTTGGGTTGCCCAGTTGCCCCTGCTCCCACAAGAATAGATACGAGTCAGTCACAGACGAAATTAACAACTACCCGGAAGAGCGCAACCCCCAAACTGAGAACTTTGTGTCACATCCATCATCTTGCTACTGTACAAGATAAACTAAAATCTGGACCGATGAAGCGAAGAAAACTGCCGATCCCCTCCCCTCTGAGGGCAAAGGACAATACTGGGAAATGCATAAACATTGCTCCAGAGAAATGCCCGGAACAAGGAAGGGGAAAGAAAAACGCAAGTCCCCATCCATCATCTTGCTACTGTAGAAGATAAACTAAAATCTGGAGCAAGGAAGCGAAGAAATTGCCGGTGCAGCCCTCCCTAAGGGCCAAAGAACCGCAACTGCTCCTGGTAGCATTCCCGAGAAATGTGCGCAACAACGAAGGGGGGAGAAGATACAAGTCCCCGCCCCAAACAAGACGGAAATAGCCCTAAACACGCGGCGGAAAACCGAAAAGCACAAAGAAGGGCGCACCTTCAGCCGCCCCTGGGGCCGCCGCCCGCCCGGCTCGCCTCTGCATTCCGTCGAACAGGAGACGAGCAAGTCAGACCAAAAACAGAAAACAAGACGAAACAAAAGGAAGTGACCCAGGAAGGCCCGCGCACCGGAGTCGCCGACGTGCCCGCGCCATCTGCAAAGGGAGAGGAAGAACACATTAGCATCACGCGTGGGGCGTCCATCTCTCGCGACGAGGCGACGGCGTTCGCTCGAGATGGGGGGGAGGAAGGAAGGAGGGGCGGGCTCACCTGTCTCCTGCCGCCGCGGCGTCCCGGCCGAGGGGCGCGTCCCGAGCTGCTTCTTGGGCAGCGCCTTGGTCTTCCTGACGGCCGGGTGCTTGGTGCGGGCCATCGCGTCGGGGCGCGCTGTCGACGGCGGCGGGTCGGCGCGGAGGAGGAGGAGGAGGGAGGAGTTTCTTTTTTTTCGCGTTTGTTTGTTTTACTGCGGCGCGTGGGCTTCCCGTGGAGAGAAAAGCGGGTGGTGGTGGGGTGGGGTGCGGGAGGAGCGGTTACTACTACTACTACTAGCGCGAGGCGAGTCGAACGTTGGGCGCGTGGGGC